TCTCAAAGAAAAACGCATGAAAAACTTAACCCTCTCACCCTTCACAAAAACTAAAAACAAAGCCACGCCGCCGTCGCAAATGCGCGGTTTAATTGTGTTACCCCCCCCCCCCCCCCTCTTATAGACATAACTCATTACATTGGAGTAACAAACGATCGTTCTGAAAGCGTTAAATTGAAAAAAAAACACTAACAACAATTTATTTTTCTTCGTTCAAATGTATCTTTACAAATCAATTTCATAATTGATTACACTCTGTTTTACTCCCCGTAAGATCGGACATTATATTAATTATTAAATTGAATAATTAGAATAAAACTTTTATATACGTTAATTTCTGTTTCTATAGATGCTTTTCTTTCAAACTCCTACTGACTCAAAGAATAATGCATTTAAATATACGTGCATACAAAGATAACATAGCAGCTCAGCATATAGATAAGTGCCTTCAACAACTAGTTTTGCGTGTTTATTTTTACTTCTCTTATTTCTTTTTTATTCCTACACTTCTAGAAAGTTTTGATTTTTCGTGAAGGTCAAACTCCGTATATTTTTTACGTCTTACAGAAAGGTCTCCAAGCTGTCCCTATATATATATATATAGATTTTTTAGATTCTTTTCATTATCATTAAACGTTTGCATCAGCTTCGAATATTTTTCTACTCTATTTTATTTCACAGGTCATTTTGCTGTCGTTGTTGACCTAGTTTCTTTTCACAACACATTATAAAAACAAAGTATCTTGCCATATTATGCAGCTGTATGCATCGTACTTTTTTGTTATCTCTTTGGCTATCATACGACAAATAGAGGCTTTTATATGCAAGAATTTTGTTATATACACAGGCATATTTTGTTTTTCGTTATTCTAGATATACAACAACGAAAAGTTTCTATCATGAAACTGATAACTCTCTTCAGCGGTAAGTTAAACTGGCTGCTATTTTGTTTGTTTTGTTTAAAGCAGAATTTCATGTTTTAAGCGGTTTGGCTAATCACTACCGGTAGTTGGGCTTATTCAAATGATTGTGCTAAAGGTCCAGAATATTGGTGTCGTGATGTATCAACAGCTAAAGATTGTGGTGCTATGCATCATTGTCAAAAAAACGTATGGCGTGAAAAAGGAAATAATAAAACACCAATAACAAAAAGTGAAACAGCTCAAATGTTATGTAATGTTATTGTTCAAGCTTCAAATGAACTTCTTACTGATGGTTTGATTGACGCCGACTCAATGAAACAATATCTTCGTAATGACTGTACTAAATTACCTGATCAAAATAATCTTATTCATCAAGTAAGAAAATAAAGTTTAACTATTTTGTAAACATTTTCTTTTATTAGTGTGAAATGGCTGTTGATCTTTATCTGTCTGATATTCTTCGTCATATTCGAAGTGGCACCGTAAGAACTTAACTGATGCTATTTTTTCTTTTCTGTATCTTACTTTTGTTTTAAAAGGAAATCACAAAAATTTGTCCAATCATCCAAGGACATGATTCGCAAAGTGTTTTCATCCCAAAACCAAAACCTATTGCTATTACACCGAATCAAACATGTGTTCTATGTGAATTTATTATGAATCTTCTTCAAGCTGTTGCTACGGATAATTCAACCGCTCAAGAGCTTGCTAACATTCTTGAAGAAATTTGCCAAGCTATGCCAGCTGTTTTAAAGGATGAATGTAAATCATTTATTGATACATATGGTGTTGATATTATTGCCCTTCTTGTTCGAGGATTTAATCCGAATAAAACATGTGAACTTATTAAACTTTGTCCCAAACCAACAAATGTTGCCTTTTTAATTAAACCAAATCCAAATACATGTGGTCTTTGTGATTATGTTTCAACATATTTATCAGCTGGATATCCAATCGAAAATGTTTGTACGGCTTTTTCAACTGATAATAATATTAGACAACAATGTGAAGTTCTTGTTCATTTATATAAACCAAATTATTGTTCACAATTACCCATATGCTATGAGGATGTAGTAATTCAACCAATTAAAGAACCAATCGAAACAACAATCAACTCTCCTCAATGTGCATTATGCAAATATGTCGTTACTTACATTGATACTATTATTCAAAACAACAAATCGGAAGCTGCAATTGAAGCCGCATTAGAAAACGTTTGTGGTATCTTACCAGGACCAATAAAAGACAAATGCATTGAATTCGTAGATACCTATGGACCTATTCTTGTTAAACTGATTGAAAAATATGGCACACCAGATCTAGTTTGTAATGCTTTAAAATTATGTCAAAATGGAACCCAAGAACTTACTCCTCGTAACTAGATTTTCCAAAAATTCTGTTTCGTCTTTCAGTATTTTATTTTTATGTTTAGTTGAACGTATTCAATTGATGAAATTTAAAAAAGCTTCTCTCAAAACAATGCAATGTGTATTTTGTAAACTTGTAATTAATGTCTTAGATATAGCTATTGGCAACAATAGAACTCCAGCAGCCATTGAAGCAGCACTAGAAAAAGTGTGCAACTACACACCACCTTCACTGAGAGATAATTGCACAAGTTTCGTTCATAAATATGGAAAAATTATTGCATTTCTTTTGGCTAGAAATGCAACACCTCAACAAGTGTGCAATTTTATTAAATTTTGCAACAATGGAACACAAGAAACAACACATGGTAGATATACTACAAACTTTTTTGCCTCTTTTAATGATCGATCTTTTTTATCCGTAGGTAGCATTGATGAGATATTGATGAATGGGCTAACATCGATTAATTCTCCTCAATGTGCATTATGCAAATATGTCGTCAGTTACATCGATGCTGTTATTCAAAACAATAAATCCGAAGCTGCAATTGAAGCCGCTCTAGAAAAAGTTTGCAACATTCTGCCAGGACCTCTTAAAGATAAATGTATTCAATTTGTTGATACCTATGGACCTAATCTTGTTAAACTGATTGAACAATATGGCACACCAGATCTAGTTTGTAATGCTTTAAAATTATGTCAAAATGGAACCCAAGAACTTACTCCTCGTAAATACATTTTGCAGGTTTTGTTCAGTATTTCAGTCTTTTATTTTTATGTTTAGCTAAACGTATTCAATTGATGAAATTTGAAAAAGCATCTCTCAAAACAATGCAATGTGTATTCTGTAAACTTGTAATTAACGTCTTAGATATAGCTATTGGCAATAATACAACTCCACCAGCCATTGAAGCAGCACTAGAAAAAGTGTGCAACTACACACCACCTTCACTGAGAGATAATTGCATAAGTTTCGTTCATAAATATGAAAAAATTATTGCATTACTTTTGGCTGGAAATGCAACACCTGAACAAGTGTGCAATCTTATTAAATTTTGTAACAATGGAACACAAGAAACAACACATGGTAGATATACTACAAACTTTTTTGCCTCTTTTAATGATCGATCTTTTTTATCCGTAGGTAGCATCGATGAGATACTGGTGAATGGGCTAACATCGATTAATTCTCCTCAATGTGCATTATGCAAATATGTCATCAGCTACATTGATAATGTTATTCAAAACAACAAATCCGAAGCTGCAATTGAAGCTGCATTAGAAAAAGTCTGTACGATTTTACCAGGACCAATTAAAGATAAATGTGATCAATTCGTTATTACTTATGGACCATATCTTGTTCAACTGATTGAAAAATATGGCACACCAGATCTAGTTTGTAATGCTTTAAAATTATGCCAAAATGGAACACAGGAAATTTCACCCAGTAAATAAGATACGAAACTTTTTTTTTCTCTCAATAGTCAAGTTTTTTCTAGCTGGTCTTATTCAAAAGTTGGAGACTCTAGGATCATCAATCAAAAATGCCCAATGTTCATTATGCAAATATGTCATCAGCTACATTGATAATGTTATTCAAAACAACAAATCAGAAGCTGCAATTGAAGCTGCATTAGAAAAAGTCTGTACGATTTTACCAGGACCAATTAAAGATAAATGTGATCAATTTGTTGTTACTTATGGACCATATCTTTTTAAACTGATTGAAACATACGGTACACCAGAAGCAGTTTGTGATGCATTAAAATTATGTCACAATGGAACGAACTCACTTCAACCCGTTCCTAGTAAGTGATTTCTATAGACACAAGAGAGAAACCAATAATGTTGTATTGTTCATTATAGACAGTTTTTATCAATCACTTGAAAATAATAAACAAACGGTAAAGATATCTTCGGAACTTAGCTCGGTAATCAATTCACTTGAATGTTCATTATGCAAATATGTCGTTGGTTACATTGATACTATTATTCAAAACAACAAATCGGAAGCTGCAATTGAAGCCGCACTAGAAAAAGTTTGTGGCGTCTTACCAGGACCAATAAAAGACAAATGCGTTGAATTCGTAGATACCTATGGACCTATTCTTGTTCAACTGATTGAAAAATATGGCACACCAGATCAAGTTTGTAATGCTTTAAAACTATGCGAAAATGGCACTCAATTAACTGAATCAATTTCCCGTAAGTTTTTTCTTTTAAAATGCTCATCAAATCACTTTTGATTTTTTTTTAAATAGATAATGTTGACAAATCAAAGAAACATATAAAAAATTCAGATGAATGTATTTTATGCAAATACATTATATCTTACTTGAATGTTCTTATAGAAAATAACGCTACTGTAAAAGATCTTGAAAAAGCATTAGAAGTAGTCTGTGTCATATTACCAGCTGAATATCATAAACAATGTAAAGCTTTTGTTCAAACATATGCCCCCATTCTAGTTGAACTCATTGTTGAACTTGATGATCCAAATGTTGTGTGTGAATGGTTAACATTATGTCCAAAATCAAGTAATAAATTTATTCAAATTCCAGCAATAAAAGGTAGAAAATTAAAATCGTTACCATGTAATTTATGTCAATATCTTGTCAACTATCTTGATGCAATTATTCAATCTAATTCAACAGAGACAAAATTTGAAGAAGCTTTAGATCGTGCTTGTAAAGTTCTACCTTCAACAAAATTACAATCAGATTGTAAATTATTAGTTCATCTATATGGTGCAGATTTAATTAAATTTCTTGTTGAATTCGGTGATCCAAAAACTGTTTGTCAAGCCATCGGTATTTGTGATAAATAGATGTCACTTCTTTACTGGTGCAAAAGGAAATCGGTTCTTTGTCTTTTTTTTCTTATTCGAATGTGTAATTGCCAATGAATTTTATTTGTGTTTGTATTGTTTTGCTCGTTAAACACATTTGTCCGATTTGCCTTTTTATGTATTTTTTTTGTGAGAGAATGACAATCAATAAATGAATGTGATAGTTGATTTTGGACATTTTCAGATTTACCAGTCTTTTTTTAATTTTTATTTATTTGTGGCATAATGAGGAAAGTCTTGTTAGTCACGTATTTAATTAGTAAGTTGTTTACAAAGATAAAAAGAAAAAAAAAACAAGAAAGGAAGTTTTTAATTTTTTTTTTCTTTTTACAAATTTAAGCTTTAACAACTAGTTTGATATATGCATACAAAGAAGAATGTGCTATTGGTCCTGAATATTGGTGTAAATCATTTCAAAATGCACAGGATTGCGGTTCATTACGTCATTGTAGTGATACAATATGGCGTTATGATGAAAAACATACAAAAATTGATTCATCAACAAAATGTGAATGGTGTGCACAGATTCTTGAAAATACAGATAAAGCTCTTCAAAATGTAGCTAATAATGAAGTTTGTCATTTCGATTTAAACAGAATCAATGAGAAAACAAAACAAATATTTTTTTTTTATTGTAGGACTTAATTAAGTCGACATTATTAAATGCATGTAAATTATTACCATTAGAAGATATTTCATCTAAAGTAAGTTGAGCACTATTGCTGTTTTCAGTTTTTTAAACAAAAAAATCGAAATTGTTTTAGTGTACAACTATGATTGAAAATTATGAAACAATAGTAGTTTTATTAATGAAACATCAAGTAATTAACATATAAAATATTACACAGTGGGTAATTTTTATTGAGCACGTGGATATAAATTATTTTCTATCAAAAACGAATTTTTTTCTCATAGAAATATTAGCTTGTTATACTCTAAAGTAAGATTGATAGACAGAACATTTACGATCAAAAATCTTTGGGTGAGGGAAGCCTTATTCTAAACTCCAGTGAAAAAATTTTCTATTTTAAAAATTAGCAAATACTACATCGCTCGATGCAGTTTTTCAGGCGGATTCCAGATATATCTTCATTTTTCCTCGAGGTACTTCTTCGACAAAAGAATCACGAAAAACTTGTATCTTAGTACAAAAGTATTTGCGCTAACTGAGTGTATGTTTCAGATATAGAAGTAAATTCTCGAAAAATGTCGTGCATATCAGACTAGTGGGAAAAGTCGTGGTCAACTTTACTGAAGACATCTTTTTGAAAAACGCTTCGTGTAAAAAGAATAATAATTTTTTTTTAGAACGAAAACTTTAATAAATTGAGAGAGCGAAAGTTCTAGTTTCAGAGTTATATATGCTTTATTGTCCAACTCGTGAAAAAAAGTCATGTTTTTCTCTAAAGGTGCTGAAACTTGATCTTTTTTGAGACTAAGTTTTTCCAATGAATTGAGCAGCTGGAAAATTTTCTTTCACGAAATACTGATTGTTAACCAACGTGTAAGTTACTGTTAACATCACGAAAAAGTTCACTTTCGTGTTTTCATCTAATATCCATGTTCTTGCCCACTGTGTATTGTAGTATGATCGAGTAAATATGTATTATTGTTCAATTTTTTAGCGTTATGATAGATTATGTCATTTAATGGATATTTGTCAAAATAGTGATACTACTGAATTAGATAAAAACATAGAAAAACCAAATGTTGATACACAATCAAAAATGTTATGTAATGTCATTGTTCGTGCTACACAAGAACTTCATGTTAATCAACAAAAAGCTAGAAGTGAAATTCAAACATATTTGAAAAATGATTGTCAACACTTAACTATTCCACAGCTTGTACAAAAAGTAAAAGAAGATTTTCAAAGAGTTTCGATACGAAAATAAACCTTTGTTCCTTTTTTAGTGTGAAAGTTTAATTGAACGACATGGTAATAAAATTTATGCACATGTAGTTAGTCGTGTGGTAAATATCTTAAAATATTCAAAACAATACATATAATATTTATTCTTTATAGGAATTATCGAAAATTTGCGATTATATTGACGATGTCGCTCTTCAAGTAAGATGATTTATTTAATATAACGAATAATACAAAAGTTCGTCGAATAAGGTCGCTTTATTTTCCATTAATTTGAGCATTCTTTGGAAAAAAAAATCAAGAACATCTATTTAGAACCAATATTGAAAACTTTTCCTATCAACGTAAAGATTCTGTTTCTTCTTATTTTTGAATATTGATCATATTATTAAATCGCACTACAATGCACTGTATAAAAAAAAACACTGAAAATAGTTGCAGCAAAAGTTTTTATGACTTAGTCGTGTTCATTGTATTACATAGTATTTATCTTCTCGTTATAAAATTCCTTATTGAATTATTGGCAAATCGTAGAAAAAAGTTTATAGCATTGTTTTAGGTAACATTAGGGAAAATGAAGTGATATTTTTCGAGGAAATTTTGCACTACCCGATTTAAACAATAAAAAATATATCAATTATTCTATTTAGTCTATTGCACCAGTCAATTGCGAATTGTGTACATTCGTTTTCTCAATAGCTAAGCAAATGCTTGATACTAAACATTCTGAAGTAAGAAGATAAATTTGATAAATTTGTTTAAAAAAAAAAAGAATAAATTTTATTTTATTATAGAATAAAGTACTTATCTATATTGACGAACACATGTGTTCACGTTTAACTGGTATAGCAAAGAAAAATTGTACAGATATAGTAGATACGAATGGAAGAGATTTAATCGCAAATATTCAAGATGGAATAGTAAGAAAAAAAAAACAAAAGTAAAATTTTCTTCTGGTTTCAATAATTGATTTAAATATAATTAGCAACCAATGCTTCTTTGTACACATTTTCAATCTTGTCTTGATACAATTATTGATAAAACAAGTCCAATACAAAAAGTAAACAAAAAACAACATAATTGAAATTATTCTAAAAAAGAAAATATAATTTTAGGATGAAATGCGTTCATTTCTTATGAATAATTTTTGTAATAAACTTGGATCACTAAAAAGTGCAGTAAGTCAAAATAAAAACAAAAAGACTGAATTTATGACTTGATCGTTATTTCATATATTAGTGTAAAGCATTAATGGAAAAAGATAGTACTCGTCTTTTACAAGTACTTACTAATGAAATGGTATGTCTAACATCAATATGAATTGATCATATTGTTATTTGTTTTTTTTATAGGATGTTCATGAATTATGTTATATGTTTGGATTATGTCAAAAGAAATCATCTTTAATTAATAAATTAGATCTTCAAGATGTATGATGAATAAATTTTGTTTTTAAATAATTATATTTTTCTTGATTTCATAGGATCCAAGTAAATGTAAACGTTGTATAGTAGATTTTACTCGACGAAAACATATTGCTGAAAAGCTTGTAGTATGTATTTAAATAAATAAAAGACATAGTGGCGAACAAACGTTTCGAGCCGTTGTATTTTTTATTTTTCTTCTGAATAATAATAACAAATAAAAATCTGAAGAGACATTTGTGTAGCCAAAAAGATTCTCTATGAAGATTGCCACATTCGAAGACTTCAACAAGAACGACATGGAAAGATCGAAGACGTCTCATTTGATCTATCAAAGAAAATCCTCAAAAGCTTCATATGGAAGTCAGAAAGCTGGTTTCAAAGGTCTTATTTATTTGCAGATCTTTACCCAAGCGTTTTTGTTGAAGTCTTCAAATCTATCAATCCTGATAGAGAATTTTTTCAGTTACATAAATTTTTTTTCAGATTCTTCCTGGCTAATACCATTGAGAAGAAAACTTGAAAATATATCTGCTCTAAACTTATGTTGGCCAGTATATATTTATTAATTAAGAATGCTTTTATCTATTTTTAGAATCATTCATCTGAATTTCTTCATCATCTCTGTGGACAACTACCTCAACAAGATGATGTAAAAAAAACATGTTTGAATAACGTTTTAAATATTAATTTGTTTATTATTTAGTGCACAAAAGCAGTTGATGATTCAATTAATGAACTTGTTACATATATTCGATCACTGGTATAAAATTTTTTGTTTAGAGAAAGAACGTTAAATTTTCTCTGTCGTTTCAGGATCCAAGAACAATTTGTGTACAATTAAATATGTGTGATCCAGCATCATTAGAAAATATGAAAACAATGGTTATTGTTCCATCGAATAATGATATAAATGTAAGATTTATATTCTTTTTTAAAACTAAAAATAAGGTTTACTTCATATTTTTTTCGAAGTAGAAAAAAAAAAGAGGATTTTAAAAGGTTAGATCACTCGATTTAAAAGCTCGTCATTTTATTGTTAATGAAGTCTTTATGTTTCATTTATCTTTTTCTTTTTCTTTCTCATAGGAAAATATTATTGAATATATTAAAAGTGATGTTTGCACTAAACTTGGATCATTATCTCTATTGGTATATTTTTTTATTAATTATTTATTTAAGTTTTCTTAATGATTAAATTTTGTTTGTTAGTGTACTCAATTGGTAGATTCCGAAGGATTAAATCTTCTTGATCTTATTAGTAAAAGTATTGATCCACATAGAGTATGTTCAATAACTGATGTATGTCCATCAAGTTCTGTATTGAAAACTGTATGTTTTATTTTGAAATTAAAAATAACTTGCTTTTTGATTTGATGAGTTTTAGTGTCATGATAAATGTCAATGTTGTACGAATAAAATTGAAATTTATCAAAGAAAACTATTGAAATTTGTGGTAAGAAAAAATAAGAAGAAAAAGAAAAAAGAACTTTATTTATTTAATTTTTCTAGCAAGCTATTGTTGGAAGTGCACGCATAATGTGTGATCATGTACCAGATCGTGACATAGTAAGTTCGCTAAAGAATATTTTAGATTAAAATAATTAGTTTTATTTAGTGTCTTCAATTGACTGATGCATTCGAAACAAATGTTAGCAAAGTAATTACAAATGTTGTAAGTAATTTATATTTAAATCATTAAAAATCGAATAGTAATGTTTCTTGTTTACTATAGGGTTCTAAACACGTTTGTCGATTATTGACTCTATGTACATCTGTTGAGGTAAACCTTTGATCATAGATAGTTATTTTTGTTTTCTTACTAGTATATTTATTTATGTTTTCATTAGGAGAAAACAAATGAAGACCAATGTCGAACTTGTAAAAATGAACTCGATATTCGTCAATATCGTTTCCGAACAACAATTAATGAAGTAACAACAACACTTCTTTCGTTATGCACCGATAATGATTGTCGTTCACATGTTCAATCTATACAACAAGAAACATTAGACAAGATTAACAGTATCAATTCACAAAATCTTTGTCAACATTTATGTTATTGTACATTAGTGAATACACTTGAACCCAGTGCAACATTGCTACGTTTGAAACTTCTTGCTCAGCATCAAACTAAAACTCTCGAGGAACGTTTACAATCAAACGATGTGTGTTCTGAATATGGACAATTAAAACCAATGTGTGAACATTTATTAGCATCACCACAAAGTCATCGTTATGCTTATATGTATATGGCTTTATTAAAAAATAATCCAAAATTAATTGATGATGATTTACGTGAACAAATGACTAGCAAAGTTAATATTGATGTTTGTGATTCATGTAAAAATTCTGTTCAATCATCAAAAGATTTTTTAAATAATGCTTTAGTAAGAATAATTTCTTCAATATGATTATTTATTTATTTATTTGGTACTTTTTTTTTTTAGGAATCTGTTCTTAATGTATTACTTCGTACATGTGAACGTTGTCCATCAAAAGATCAATGTCGTGATTATTATAATCAAAGATTTAATAATATTAAATCTTATATAAATAGCATTAATTCTGATCAATTTTGTCAATCTATTCATCTTTGTTCTACATCATTAATTATTATTCAAACAGATCAATGTTCAAAATGTGTAGAAAGTTTACAATCACGAAAAGTTAGCATTTTACATGCTTTAGATCGTATTGTTTCATATTTTGATGATATTTGTCAACGTTTTGCTGGTGAAAAATGTCAAATATTTATAAAACAAATTCAAGATTCATTTGAAAAATCTATTGAAAATTTTGATCCAAAACAAACATGTAATTTAATTGGTTTTTGTTCAACAATAAATGTTCAACATGAAATGAATTTTGATAAATATGAAAAATATTTAGAAGATGAAATTGATAAGAATATTTGTTCTATTCTTGGTCCATTTGAAACATTATGTAAACAAACAATTCGTGCTAATAGAAAACAAATTGAAACAGTAAAAATTAATTATAATATTAAAGATTTAATGCAAATTGGAGAACAAATAACAAATGGTAAAATAAAGAACTTTTTCAGTGCAGCTAATCTTAGTAAGTTTATTAGTCTTTCAAATATCCTATTGATTTTTATGAAACATAATCTAAAAGAAATGTTGAAATATATAAGACAAAAATTAGTAACAACAACTACATCGTGTTTCATATTTTAATCTCACAGAATTTGCATTAACAGTTATGTATCTTTTTTTTAATGTTATATTTAGATGAATGTAGTCGTGATAAATGTCAATGTTGTATCAATCGAATAGATCAAAAGAAAGAATGTGCCAAGAATATTACAGATAATATAATTTCATGTTTTATTCGTTCATGTGATTATTGTCCAGCTAAAGATCAATGTCAAAAATATTGGCAAGATTCTCAAAAACAATTTGATTCATATATTGATAATATTGATTCAAAACAAGTTTGTACTCGTCTTGGTTTTTGTAATGTTTCATCATTATGTATGAATATGGGTATTTTTCAACAATCATGTGAAGAAGCACTTAATGCTTTTACTCAATCACTTAAACATGATCCACAAACATTAGAACGTCATTTACCACATACATCAATTGTAGTTTTATCAACAAAATCTGAAGAAAAAGAAGAAACAAATCTTTTAAATGATTCTAATTCTACTTGTATTCTTTGTGAATATCTAATGACTATTCTTTCAAATTATATTCATCGACAATCAACAGAAGAAGAAATTGAACAAAGTTTAGAAAAAGTTTGTAATCAAATGCCATTAACTATTCAAAAACAATGTCATGAATTCATTGATAATTATGGTCCACCAATAATTGCAACACTTATACGAGAATTTGACGTTGCAACTATTTGTCGAAAACTTAATTTATGTACAAAACAAATGAAAGTTCATTTATCTCATTTAACAAAAGCAAATCCAGTAACATGTGGTATATGTGATTATGTTTCAACTTATATTAATTTTGCACTTAAACGTGATTCAAGTGAAAAATCACTTCAACATGCATTATCAACTGTTTGTATACATTTATCAAATGAACAATATTCACAATGTCAAACAATAGTTCAATTATTTGCACCACATATGAGAAAATTAGAACTTGATCTTAATAATAATTTTTGTCAACAATTAATTATTTGTCAAACACCAATGATTGAATTAACACCAGCTATTCATCTTAATCAAATATCAACTAAATCAAAACCAACAATTGAAAAAGATGAGAAATTGAAAGAAACAATCGTTAGAAATTTAGATAGTACACCAGAATGTATGTTATGTACTTACGTTGTTTCATATTTGGATGCTATTTTAAAGAATAATAAATCTGAAGCAGCAGTTGAAGCAGCATTATCAAGAGTTTGTACTATCTTACCACGTATGATTAATTGTGACAAAAAAACTATTTGAGATTGAATATTTCTTTGTTTTTGTAAAGGAAAAGAACGTGCTCGATGTGGTGACTTCGTTAAAACATATGGACCAGTTCTTGCTGAATTAATTTCTGATGTGACTGATCCACAATTAGTTTGTCGCTATCTTGGAATGTGTCAAGTAGTTTCATCACAAGAAACGACAATAATGGAATCAACACCAGTTAAACACTGAAAGCATTAGTTTACTTATATACCGGTGTACAAAAAAATGGAACGATTGACTAATGTTATTTGTCTATTTATTTCTTTAGAGACATCAAAGTTTTTTTCTGTTATTAATTTACTTACTAACTTTCAATATGAAAACTAACCAGAATGATATTAAGATCGAGTCTCTTATATTGTTGTTCATTCTATCTGAAACATTTTTACTATTATTTCTTTTATTTCGACTCATTTTCTCTTACTTTATTCTCGCCTTTCATGTTCATCTCTCTAACTGTTTCTAAACTACAAAAATAGAAGACACTATGAATTCTGATTCATTCATCTATTGTATATGCTTATTTTTTGTTGTTGAAAACTCTCTTGTATTAAAATGTTGTCTTTTTTTCCTATTAAAAGTCTGATAAATCTCATTTTATTATTCGAAGATTCAACTGTTACTAGAGAAGGAATATAGATAAATTTGCACTTAAATCGTTATAGTCTAATTGAATCTAAACTTATTCTATCCATTTAATCACATTGAATATTACTTGCATGCATATTTATCTATCAGTATAGACATCGAATTTGTGATGCATGCAGATCTTTCGTTTGGTTTTATTCAGGAGGGGGAGAAAGTCAGGGAGAAAGTAGCCAAAACTTAAAGAAAACTTTCTATTTGGGAGAAAGTGCCTGATTCTCCTTGAAAACCTAAAGAGAACGCATTATCTTTCTCAAAAACAGCTGCTTTTCTTTGAAATCTTGAAATAAAGTTTCTCTTTAGAAGAAAATGGCTGTTTCTCTTTTGCATGGTTTTGGTGCATTTCCTCTATTCAAAATACCGAAAAACCCGCTAAACAACAGCTAACAAAAATTTCCCTGTGGAAAGGCAGAACGCAAGAAAAGAATTAGGTGAGAGAAAATTCCCATCTTCCACTCCGTAATCGTATGGCCTGATAGCTGCAATTTTCTTTATATAGCAATAGCAGATTCAGATACATTATCTCTCACTTGTCAGTTGAGTTGAGATATCAGAAAGAGACTTAAATTCATAATGATTTCCTCTATCCGAGTTTAAGATTTTGAAATAGCAGATATCGTATACAGTCGTGTTTTGGCATTTTTCGGGCTCGTGCAGTCAGCCGCATTGTCTATTCGAGCTTTGCTCTAGTGGCAGCCGAGTTTTTTTCTTTTTGACCTGTTTCAGTTCCTCTTTTAGTTTCACTTCTTTTCTCTTTTACCTGATTCAGTTTCTCTTTTACCTGATTCAGTTTCTCTTTGAAAGAAAATAGCTTGTTCTCTTAAAAAAAATTGGAAACAGAACTTCGCTTATGCATAGCCAATCTGGTCCACCAAAAGCTTAAAAATCGTTAGCTCTTCATAACAGAAAGTTTCCTGGGAGAAAGGCAGAATGTAAGAAAAAATTTAGGAGGGGAAATCATCCTGCTTCCCCCTCCTAATCATAAGCTATGGATGCATGAATATGACTAATGATATTATCTGCAAAATATTTGTGTAATTTTTTTTTCTGTATATTAATAATGAAATTTACAGCGAGGAAACCATACACATATTCATCTTATTATAATCTGTTTCTTTGTCATTTCTCTTATCATATGAAATCTAAAAAAGATGTATCTTCACATGAAAAAAAACAACCTATTTCTCTTTTCTAGAAGACAACAAATTAAATGTCGACATTCCCCAAAACAGTGTGGACAAAGATTAAAGATGGATTTGAATCACCAAAGAGACAAACAACATCAAATAGAAGTTCAAGTGCACCTGCTCCACCATATGCATCTAGAACATATGCATTTAATGGAGATGTGATCATGGAAATCGATCAACAAGGTTCAACTGTTCAAGTAACATCTCCATCACGTGAACCACATCGACCTATATTTACTATTGGTGTTGGAGTATTTGATATTCTCATGCTTATTATTATGTACATTGTCCAACGAGGAACCAGTTTATCATCGGATACATGGATAACAATGGGTGCCAAATATGTGCCTTGTATGAAAGCTCTTTCTTCAAAGGCAGAACGCTTAGCATACGATGCAGGGCTCAAATCTCGATGTCATGCTTTTCTTTTTCCTTATCAAATTTATAGATTTTTTACACCGATGTTTCTTCATGCAGGTGTACGCCATCTTCTGAACAATCTCGTTTATCAAGCTTTAGCTGGTTCTATATTGGAAAGAAAATATGGTACAAAAGTATTTGCAATATGTTATATAGTATTTGGTTTTAGTGGAAATGTTATGAGTGCACTAGTCAAACCAAAGACTGGTACGTAATGGCTAGTATTTGTCTTTATGACAATTTTGCTCGTTTAAAAGAAAAGATAGTGATGATACAGTACCAATTCTATTGAGTTTTGCATGTCGAAAATATAATTTATTAAAAATCTTCGTTTACGCAATGAGTTGAAAAATAAACTTACATCAGGATTATAATGCACTGGTTTATTATCAGACTATTTAGTTTTTGCATTAATATATGTTGTAGAATATAACGGATTGCATATCTTATTATTTGGTGAAGTTTAATAAATTTGAATGCATGTAATATTTCATATTTTAAACAATGTATTGATATTGTTCTAGTATCTGCTGGTGCATCGGGTGCTGTCTATGGTCTATTATTCTTCTGTATCATCGACAATACTTTACGTATCTTTACTATCGAAAATTTAAAAGACAAAATTATTCAATTTTGTATCATGCTTCTTGTTATACCGTATTTTATAATGAGTATATTTGTTGATGTTGACTTTTCCGGTAATATTGATCATGCAGGACATGGTGGCGGTGCACTTATGGGAATTTTAGTATCTATGTATTTGTGTGACATGCCGAACTTCATTACAAGTCGAGTTCCTAATGGAGGAAGACGAATTCAATTAATTGCATTGATTGCAATCATCGGTTACTTTTTCATTTCATTATTTGTCTTTTACCTACTTAAACCAATTAGTCTTAAATAAGAATAATCAAAACATTTTATGTATTAAAAAAAAACAGAATAACCTAAAAGTCGCTTTACTAGAAATAAAAACTTTGAATGTCTTCGCAACAGTTTGATCCAAGGGGTTCACTGTTTTATTACTGATTAAGCAATATTCATAGTTCATAATGATAAGAAAAGTGTCAAAAGAAAATACTTCTATAAAACATTCTCATAAACTTTGGAAACAGTAATAAGCGTGAACAAGCTATGAAAAACGATATTGTAGATACTCAATATTGTCTTGTCGTTGACGACTGAATGTTTTTGAATATATAGAACAAAAAGACATGAACAAGTGATAGAAGTTTGAGACTAGGTCAATGAAATGGGAAGGCATGGTAAAAAAAAAGAAATAGATGACATGTTCTTTATTTTTGGTCAGACGAATAAATAAATCTTTTTATTACTCGTTAATAATCATATGTCGAAGAAGAATTTTCAATGTGTGTCTTATGAATATGAACTATGAATACTATTTTATCAGCAGCAGAAAAAAAAGCTGATTTGTTTGACTTACAATCATGATAGTCGACTTTTTGCTCAGTAACATGATTTTAGGGCTATTCTGTATTGTTCAGATGAGGCTTTTCTTTTAGTAAATGTCGTTTGCATTTTTATTATAAAAAAAAGTATTATTCTCAAAAAAAGCTATTCTGACGTGTATTTTTCTTTCGACTTCTATTGCTTATAAATAAATATATATTTATAAATGTATAACAAAATGCAACAGATCGCTATTTAAAAAGGATACAATATACCAACAATTTGAACCAATTGAAATATCAGAAGGTGAATAAAACATAATTGATAATTTAGGCTTTTATAGAACTTCATCAATCATTATTGTATTAGTTTCACATCATAAGTATTGCAAACTATGTATTGAAGGAAAAATAAAGCTCGATTCATTTGATCAGTTGGATGTATTGGCTTTATTGTACAACACAAAACCATTTTTTTTCCGCACATTCGTGTATACAAGCATTCAAGTTGTGGTATTGTTCATAAACTACTCAGTGAAACATTAGGGCAATTGTCCCTTTCATTTGGAGATGTGCCCATTAAAATTTTACTTTTTCAGAATTGTTTATTTATTTTTGAATTAGGTAGTAGCTATATTTATTTTTCTTCTATCTGGATCACACATGCACTCTTTGCTTGTTCTTTTTGTGAAAAATTAAGAAAAGGAGAAGAAAAGAATCGCTTCTTGTAGTTTAACTGTAAGTTTGAGTGAACGTGAGTTCGTTTTTATTGGAAAAACACTAACCACATAAAGATCAAATGTTCGTTATTTAATAATCTTTTTGGCACCATTGCCTGTATCAACAGCTTCTGCTGAAAGAAGTTTCAGTCGATTATTGAGGATTAAACGTTATTGTCTGTCTACAATGAAACAAAATACACTAAACGAACTTGCTGCTGCGTACATTCATAAAGATCTCGATATATATCCAGATGGAATATTGAAATTATATACACAAATACATTATTGTCGTCTTGATTTTGATTTTGAATTTGAAATATAAATGTTATAAACAGAAACATTAAAAATAGACTAAAACACACCTGACTCAGACGTAAGATCGGAGTATGATGCATATTTGATTAGAAGAACCTCATTTCATTTTTTTTGGGTTTTTCTTGCGTTATAAGTACTTTTGTTAGGTCAAAAACGTTTTAGCCTATCAATACAAACCTTGGCCATTGGTCTAAAAATTCTGGTTACGCTGTTGGACCTACTTCCATTTGTCTTCATACGCACACTATCAATGACTGTTATAGTGGCGTAACCAGGATTTTCCAGTATCCTGGATCTCTGCTAGAGAGCATGGGTCACAAATGAAAACTTATGTACATTGATATTGGACTAAAATGATGAGTTTCTATCGGAAAAAATTTTGCATCAGAGTTTGCAAAAGAAATTAGCATTTCCTGAGCCCAACCGGAAAATGCTTCACGGCTTTAATGATATTTCGTTTTTAGGAATGCCATCGATAGCTACATCAA